GATTCATCCTCACTCTCTGCCTCAGAACTCAGGGAGGCTTGAGTCTCAGTCTCTTGTAATTCTGAAAAAGCCTCTTTTGTGGCCTGGACTACCTGGCGGTGACTAGCCTTATCTGTCAAAAGTGCACCCCTCACTAATCTCCATAAGGAGAATGTGGATGGGGGCAGGGACTCGGGTCCCTCTTTTCGTAAAAGTTGAAGATCACAGCGAACCTCCTCCCAATCTGGGATATTTAAGCTTCCCCCAGTAATGAACCATGGACTCTCTCATTCGATCGATTTTAGAAAGCCTTCTAGGGTTTTAGCCTTGACTATGGTCCCCTGTCCTTCAAGTAACTTTTTTATTTGATACTGTAATTCAAGCTTCCAGGAACTATTCCTCATCGTTTTTTTTTTCTTATTTTCCCCAATCTGTCCCTGGCCAGAAAAAGAGATGAACCCGCCCACTTACCTTGTTTTCACGATCTCGGTGGGACCTCCAATTGCGGCGCCCGCTGCGCAGCCTATATCCAAGAATGTGGTGAGGGTGTCGGGATTGATGACACAGAGACCAGTCGGTTGCGTTAAGAAATCTTTATGCTCCCCAAGAAGGCTCAGGAGAACTTCCCAAGAAAACGCTTCCCTACAGAAAAGCTTCTGCCATACCTCCACCCACACGCACACATACACATATCTCCCTTCCTCCTCCTAGCTGGTGGTTAAATCCCTGACACCAGAATTGGCAGCCACAGCAGGGGCCAGGAAGAGGTGGCTAACCATCAGAAAGATCAAAGTCAGGGTGTTTCAGTGAGCCAGCCCTTATCCAGCCCTTATCAGGAATTTATAGCTCCGGTAAACATTTCTTAGGGCACTGGATTGTTTTCAGTAAACATGTTTTCAGTAAACATTGTCTCACAGCTGCCTGCTCCCAGGCTGATGGAGATGTGGGTTTCCGGCCAAGGTCTGTTGTTCCCATAGAGTGGAGAATATGTAATGCCCACAGCAGGTTGAGAGAGCATTAATGTCCTCCTTGAACTTAGAAAGCATGGGGATTTCTCTTCAGGGAGCTTTGACAATATTCATAAATGGGCAGGTCCATTCCTGAGCATGCTCAGTGAGAGGACATACTACATTTCTGAGCAGGCTCAGTGGAGGAGGCCATCACATTCTTTAGCATGCTCAGCTAAGGTGATGAAGCTCACGCTTAAAAGATTAAAATGATAGACATGTTTGTGGCCATGGCCATGCTCAGTCTTCAGTATAACTCTGAAACTGAGAATACAGGAAGGACACTTTGACAGTACATTGACACAGGAATCTTTCCAGGAAGGTGGCTGCTTTGGTTCATGGCTGGCAGCACCACCATGGACACTGGGGCTCATACTATCACCTCTAGGGCACAAGACTCACAGGGAGTTATTTAAGCGTGGGCAGCCACCTTTACTAGACCTTGCATTCACAAGCAGCTGATGACCTATGCCCACATCACTCACTGGAAGTAGTAAAATGTAGTTATGACATGCCATGGAGCACTGAATGAAAGGACTGTAGCATCAGCTTGTATCCAGCCTGGCTCTTTTGTCTGGTCATTGTTCAGGGACATTGATGTAGCCCTAAAAATTGCTTTTGTGATGATTCCTATTTGTTCTTCTCCCTCCAGTTTCAGGGAAGTTTTCTCCTCCTTTGACTTGTTCATGACTCTGCCCCAACCCTGGGATGAAGTATGGGTGCCCTGTCCACAGGTTTAAGACTCAGTGAGCCCTCGTTCTCTATGATGGACCAAAGGCAGATTGCAGTGTGATGGTGTGCACTTATTCCTAACCATGTATGGCTTATTTCTATTCATGGACCTTCGTAATTGCAGAGCACAGATGGTGTCTAGCTGGCACTAACTAGACAATAGATGCCCTAGGCTTGTTTGTGCTGTTATTATAAGACATTGTACTTATACTAGGCAGGAGGCTAGCTCCTGGAGGCACTGTCAAATAAGCCTTCCAATAAAAGTCATAAAGAAGATCACAGGCTTGCTCAAGGCCAGTGAACAGGAAGATGATGGTGGTAGTTGACTGATGGACAGTGTGGTGGTGTTCTTTCCACCTCAAACCAGGATGCAAAGATGGTGTGGTCCATAAAGCAGGGTCTATAGAAGAGTAGGTAGCATTGGTTGGTGAGCTGGAGCAGTTTCAACTCTCTTCAGTGACTTTTAACCAGGAGATCATGTGAAGAATGCTGCTACTGTTTTCTCATGGAAACTATTGAACTTTGGGGATGCTTAATCACTATTCATAGCTGGAGGCAGTTGGGAGGCAGAGGCAGGTGAATCTCTGTGAGCTCAAGGCCAGCCTGTCATTAATCAGGCAGTTTGATTGGCCAGCATCTCCACACCCAGGAATGTTTACTCCTTTTTATAAGGCTGGGTAAGGTCCCTTAAGAATCTTTCAACTTGTTGTTCTCCAAGACATGTGAACCCTTGTCACAGCTGCACCAGCTGGAATCTCAAGGGCACTTGAAGAGCATCTGAAGCTCCTGAGGCCAATTCCAGGTGGATGAGAACATGCCAGTCTATACAGCTTAGACGAGACAATGCAGGGACCTGAGATCGAGAGGGGCAGCTGACATCCTATGTTGATCCTGGCTTTGCAAACCGTGAGCTGCAGCAATGTGTCCCCATAAGTCCCCTGGGCCTGGAGTATTTTCTCAGCCTGCCATCGTCAGAAAGCACACACCGTCAGGCACAGGTCCTGGAGTGGAAAACTCCTTCAGGCAGTTCACCTATGGGAAAAGCCAGAGCATGAAGGTAACCACGCCAGCTCAGGAGGCTGAACCCTGCAGAGGTGGGGATGGCATTGCAATCCAAACACCTGGGCCCTGGTTGTCCCACCCCACTTCAGGCTGACCGTGTTCCCATTCTGGGCCTCAGTTCCCCATCAATGACAACAAAGCCGCTGTTGAGCAGTGAACTTTGAATGTCTGATAAAGAGGTCCCATAAGAAGCCACACAAACAATAGGAAAGAAAGCATGACAGACGACAGCTGATGGCAAAGACCATGCACAATAACAAGAAGGAAGCAGGAGAGGGACGCTGGTGGTAAAATGTGTCCGTATAGGAAAGTTCATCAAACTATATGAAACCACAAACCATACATGCTCCCCAAGTGAGGAAAGACAGTGTTTGCTAAATGCTGGTGAGGGTGAAACCTCTTATCTACTGTGTGAGGGTTTCTAACTGCTACACAGACACACACACACACACACAGACACACAGACACAGACGCGCCAGTACACCCACATAAAAACTACACACAATGACAGAGACGGGAGAATGTCAGGGCTCTCTGCCGGCTTATCTAAAATGATAATCTCCAGACCCAAGATACGGCTCAGTGGTTAAGAGCACTGGCTGCTCTTCTGAAGGACCCAGGCTCAATTCCCAGCACCCACATGGTAGCTCACACCTGTCTGTAACTCCAGTCCCAGCGGATCCAACACCCTCACACAGACACACATGCAGGCAAAACACTGATGTGAATAGTCAAAGTGAATAGTTAAAATCTTCCTCCTCCTCCTTCTCCTCCAGGTTCAGTGAGAGACCCAGTCCACCAGTCTTGGTTATGGAAACGTGGCTGAGGATGGCGAGGGAATGAGGGAAGGCCTAACAGGCGCATGTATAGAGAAGCTGGGGTCTGGTGCTTGGTGTACACTCTGATGGTGGCAACAGCCTGGAACCTCAGCAAGTTAATTTGTCCGGCACAGCGGGAGAGGTATCTAGTCTGGGTAGGAAGTCTCTGTAGGCTAGGGGTCCTGCTGTAAACACCTGGAAGGCATTCACTGCCATTGCTAGTTGGTGCAGGCACTGGGTAATAGTTGGTAAGTTCTAGTACTTGGACAAAAGGAAGGTTTTGCTATTCCCTTGCATCTGGGGCATTGGACCTTGGCAGGGCTATGCTAGGTCAAACAATATACATCCACTCAGGATTTCATTCTCTCTCTCTCTCTGTCTCTCTCTCTCTCTCTGTCTTTGGTTTTTTTTTGTTTTGTTTTGTTTTGTTTTTGTTTTTTGTTTTTATTTTTTTGAGACAGGGTTTCTCTGTTGTTTTGGAGCCTGTCCTGGAACTTGCTCTGTAGACCAGGCTGGTCTCGAACTCACAGAGATCTGCCTGCCTCTGCCTCCCGAGTGCTGGGATTAAAGGCACATGACACCAATGCCCAGCTTCATTCGCTCTTACACACTCACTTAAGGCTCCCTGGCTCCCACAGGTATAGTAGATAATGCAGTACCTATCTACTTATTTGACTTTACTGTTTTCTTCCAGGACCAGTCTCGTCATTCCTCTTGGACAGATTCCCCCATGTGGAAATGTCCTCTGGTATGCTTGGGAAGCTTGTGTAGGATTTTATAAACTTTCAAACTATTTTCCAAATAGTACACCATCCATCATGGCTGTGGCAATGTGCAAGGGTTCACTTTTCCCCCATTCTTCCCCATGCTTGCTGGTGTCTGTTGAGCAGGCATTCCATGGGAAATTCAGGGCTAGCATGACAGTTTTGACTTGGATTTCCCTAGTAGTTAACGATGTTGAACCTGTTTTCATTTGCTTAATGGCCATTTGCATACCATTTTTCCCATGAAATGTCTACTCCGAATCTTTTTCCCAGTTCCTATTGTCTTCCCATAGAGATTTAAAATTTATATATTCTGAACACGTGTTCAGGGATGTGAGCTGCAGACTTTCCTCCAAGTCTGTGACTTGTCCCTTCACTCTTTGAACCGTGTCTTTGTAAGAGAAAATTATTTGAATTTTGATTCAAGTCAGATTTACCAAGTTTTTCATGTTTAAGAGTTTTATGGAGATTTTCTCCTGCATTTTCTTTGAGAATTGCATGTTGCAGCTACCAAGGATTGCCCTTAGGACCTCAGGCATGCTAGTCCTATGCTCTGCCACTGACCTGCAGCCACAGTCAGAGTTTGAAAAATTTTAAGGCTCTAACTGCAGGGAGCCATGAGGTGTGGCCGCCATTCCAAGATGGCGCTGGGCCCCTGCAGGGCTGGAATAAACAACTCCATATAGGGTCATAACCAGAATCACCAGTTCGAGCATGCGCAGTGTCCTCAGCTTGCTGGACCAATCAGGGAGCCTGAGGTGGTTGCGAGGGGTGCTCGACCAATAGGACGGTTGCACGCTGCCTCAGTTTCTATATAAGCAGTTTCCCTGCTCGGCGTCTCTCGCTTCCTGCTCTCCCTTCAACCAAGAGGCTCCAATAAAACGCGACCCCTACTGGTACCGAGCGAGGGACTGCAGAGGATTCAGAACCCGACACGTGGAGCGGCGATGTCGGTAAGTAAGCTTCTCCAGGTATGCTGACTGGGGGACTCCATCCTTGGGTGTTTTATTTGGGTTTTGTGTTAATGGTAGCTGTTATGTTCTCCTACTGTTTCTGGTTTCGCTGTCTGAAAGGGGGCACGGTTCCCTTCTGGGGCCTTGTGCGCGACTGTCTCAGAGAGGGAACCAACTCAGAAATCATTAGAGGAGGGCGAAAAGCATTGATAGCACACCAGGATAGTCTCTCAGAATCGGACACACAAAAGGGAAACTTGGATAGGCCTAAAAGAAAAATAGAAAAGAAAAAGGAAAAGCAAACGATCACATGCAAAGATGAGAAAAAGGAATTAGATCAAAAGGAGGAGAAGCAGCCCCTCCCCGGGCCAGGGGAGGAGACAGGCCAACTTTGCCTGGCCTTAAGAGAATTTGCTAATTTAGAATTATCAGATGGTGAACTTAGCCCTGAGGAGGAGGAGGAACTGGAGGAGAAAGCGGCAAAATATCGGGGGGGGAGGAATGCAATTGGCCTGAATCGTGCCCTCCTGCCCACAACCCCTCATATGGCGTAGCAAATCTGGCACCCCGTCCACCTGACCCACCACGGGTCACGCCCTCCACGCCGCCATTAACAGCCGCTCCTATGCGTTTTTGGCGTGCTCCGCGAAGGTTGCCACTACATTAACCAGGGTACTTGGGCCCGCTTAGCCTCGGCATTCCCAGTATTGGAAGAACCACTGACTCATGAGAGGAGATATGAGCCAGTACCTTATAAGCAGTTGAAAGATCTCGTCGCTGCAGTAAAAGATTTTGGAGCCACAGCAGATTACTCGATTGCCCTTTTGCACAGAATCTGCGTCTCACCGCTGACGCCCACAGATTGGATTGAGTTGGGCAGAGCGTGCCTGACTAAGGGCCAATTCTTGGACTTTAAGTCCCTGGCCACGGATAATGCCCAGACACAGGCTAGAATAAATATTCAAAATGGGCACCCAGAATGGACAGCAGACATGCTCCTGGGCCTTGGACAATATATGGGCAATCAGGTTGGCCTCCCCATGGATGTTTATCAACAAATAAATGAAATTCATTATCGGGCCTGGAGAGCGCTCCCCAATAAAGGGGAAGTGGCTGGCAACTTGACAAAGATCATTCAGGGCCCCGCGGAACCTTTTGCAGATTTTGTAGCCAGGCTACTTGAGGTAGCAGAAAAGACAATAGGTGGTGCTGAATACACCATGCCTTTTGTACAACAAATTATCTTTGAACAAAGTACAAAAGAGTGTCAAAGGGCCATAGCCCCGGTCAGACATAAGAATTTAGACGCTTGGATCAAAGCTTGCCGGGAGGTAGGGGGCCCCCTGACTAACGCTGGCCTTGCTGCGGCTGTGCTTTCTGTCACTAAAGCCGCTCGTGATTCTAAAGGAAAGGGCTGCTTCCGGTGTGGTCAGGCAGGACATTTAAAAAGACATTGCCCTAGTGGCACCGTCTCTCCTGGGCAACCTGCATCGACAGGTTTGCGCATGCCTGGGACTTGTCCACGCTGTAAGAAAGGCAAACATTGGGCAAATGAGTGTCGCTCCACTAAGGACATAAATGGCCACCCCATTCTTCCACCAGATATAGCCGGGTCAAAAAACGGGATGAGGGGCCCCCGTCCCCAGGGCCCAAAAATATTTGGGGCATTTCAGACCCCTATGTCAACACAGACTCCCCAATTGATGGGGCCAAGTCAGTTGCCCGGCGAGCAACTAGCGGCTCCGCAGGGCTGGACCTCTGTGCCACCTCCGGATTGGTATAAACGCCTGAGATGGGGGTTCAGATTTTGACATCAGACATGTTGGGTCCATTGCCAGAGGGCCAAGTGGGGATAGTTTTGGGATGTTCTTCATCAACAATGAACGGGCTTATGATTTTCCCGGGAGTAATCGACCCGGATTATCCTGGGGAGATTAAGCTTCTTTGTCACTCCCTGTCAGGGGTTATTTCAATTGCTCCTGGAGATCGCATTGCTCAGCTCCTGCTCCTGCCCTCGTCCCATGGGATGTTTCCCTCAAGAAAAGGGGCCAGAGAAAAGGGAGGCCTGGGCTCTACAGGAGTTGATCTGGCTTGTTTGTCTATGGCTCTTGATGACAGGTCCATATTACAATTAATTATTGAAGGGAGGTCCTTTCCTGGCCTGGTGGACACGGGCGCTGACCGGAGTATTATTAGAACTAAAGAGTGGCTGAAACAGTGGCCCCTCCAACGCTCGGCCCAATCCCTACAGGGCTTGGGCTATGCACACACGGCCTGTATAAGCTCAAAAGAGCTGGTCTGGAAGATGGAGGACCAACAGGGCAGAGTTCAACCTTTTGTAATCGACCTCCCCATTAATCTTTGGGGCAGAGACACCCAACAGCAGTTACAGCTGTGGTTAACAAATGAGTTCTCAGAGGAAAGTAAAAACATGATGTCAAAACAGGGATTCGTCCCCACTAAGGGGCTAGGAAAAAATCTTCAGGGTATATCTCAGCCCATCATCCCGTCTCTGAAGACAGATCGAAAAGGGCTGGGTTTTTCCTAGGGACCACTGACTCATCGGCTTCTGATGTTCAGCCTCTCCCCATACCTTGGATAACTCAGAAGGTGGTATGGGTGCCCCAGTGGCCCCTTTCTCAAGAGAAATTAGAAGCCGTTAGACAGCTTGTCCAGGAACAGCTTCACTTGGGCCATATCGAGCCCTCTGTTTCGCCATGGAATACATCGATTTTCGTCATTAAAAAACCATCTGGAAAATGGCGATTGCTTCATGACTTGAGAGCTGTTAATAACCAAATGCAGATCATGGGGCCTACTCAAAGAGGTCTGCCATTACTTTCTGCTTTACCGAGAAATTGGCCTGTGATGATCTTGGATATTAAAGATTGTTTCTTCTCGATCCCCCTGTGTAAGCAAGACAGGGAGTGGTTTGCTTTTACCATACCCTCCATTAATCATGAACAACCCGATGCCCGTTTTCAATGGCGGGTCCTCCCACAGGGGATGGCTAATAGTCCTACAATGTGCCAACTGTTTGTGGATGCTGCCTTGTTGGCTGTGCGGCAGCAATATCCTGCTGTGCGCATTATTCATTACATGGATGACATCCTGTTGGCAGCCCGTTCCCTACAAAATCTTGAGGATGCCTTTCAAAGGACAGTTTCTACACTGGAGGCTCGGGGCCTGGTTATAGCTCCTGAAAAGGTACAGCGTTCTACCACAGCTAAGTTCCTGGGGATGATAATTCAGCCAGATACTATTCGCCCCCAGAAGGTCCTTATTCGGACTCAACATTTGACAACACTCAACGACTTCCAGCAGTTGTTGGGGGATATCAGTTGGGTTAGGGGTTATCTTCACCTCCCTAGATCTGAATTATTACCACTATTTTCCATATTAGAGGGCAATCCTGATGTGACCTCCCCGCGGGCCTTGACTCCTGCAGCAAAGCGTTCCTTACGCTTGGTAGAGGAGGCACTGTCCCGGGCACAGCTTAATAGATATGATCCATCTCTTCCCATTTCTTTATGCATCCTAAAGACAAGACATTCTCCCACTGGTGTGTTATGGCAGGATGGGCCCCTCTGGTGGCTACATGGCAATTCGGTGGGAATGCGGACCCTTAATTATTATCCTGCCCTAGTAGCCCTTCAGGCCATGATTGGCATAAAATTTTGCTTAACATCTTTTGCAAAAAAGCCGGATAAACTAATCATTCCTTATACCAAAGATCAGGTAGAAGTTTTGGCTGCCACTGTGGATGATTGGGCAGTTTTACTTTGCTCCTTTTCTAATATTATAGATAATCACTTTCCAAAACATCCATTGTTAAGTTTTGTGGATGATAATCTGGTCTATTTTCCCAAGGTCACTTCACCCGTTCCCCTGGTCGGTGCCGTGACTATATTTACTGATGGGTCAAAGACAGGAAAAGGGGCGATGGTTGTGGGACACCAGCCGCCTCAGGTTTTTTCTTTTCAACCTGATACACCCCAAGCAACTGAATGCTTGGTAGTACTTGAAGTTTTCAAGAAATTCCCTGAGCCCTTTAATTTGTTTTCAGATTCCCAGTACGTGGTTAATGCGGTTTCCTCCCTTGAGGTGGCTGCCTCAGTTCGTCAGGCAAGCCCCGTCTCAAATATCTTGTTACAGATTCAACACTGTATTTTACAAAGAAGCCATTCCTTTTTTGTTGGTCATGTTAGAGCACATACCTTGCTTCCTGGCTTTATTTCCAAAGGCAATGAACAGGCCGACCTAGCCACCAGGGCCATGATGGCCCTGGTTGCTGCCGATCCTATCCAGCAAGCTCGGGACTTCCACAATCTGTATCATGTCCCCGCTGACACCCCGCGGAGAAAGTTTGCCCTGACCAGACATGATGCTCGAAGTATTGTAAAAGCCTGTTCTTCTTGCGTCACCTTCTTTCATCCCCCTCATGTAGGTATCAACCCCTGAGGCCTACGACCAAACGCCTTATGGCAAATGGTCGTCACTCATGTTCCGGAATTTGGCTGTGTTAAATATCTTCATGTCTCAGTGGATACCTACTCGGGTATCATTTTTGCCACCCCCTTGGCAGGGGAAAAGTCCACTCACGTAAAGACCCATTGTTTGGAGGCCTGGGTGGCATGGGGTAAACCTGTCCGTTTAAAGACAGATAATGGCCCTGCTTAATCCTCCAAGGGTTTTCGTGCCTTTTGTGCGCAACTCCAGGTCGCGCACACCTTTGGTTTGCCATACAACCCCCAAGGCCAGGGGATAGTGGAAAGAGCTAATCGCAGCCTCAAAGAGCTCTTACAAAAACAAAAAGGGGGAGTGGCTGAGACTGCCACAGGATTGCTATGGCCCTTTTTACTCTCAATTTCCTGATAATAGATGACAAAGGCCGTACAGCAGCTGACCGACACACCTACCCCACCCCAGATAGCGTAGGGGATGTGATGTGGAAAAATGTGCTGGATAACAAATGGTATGGCCCGGACCCTGTCATCCGGAGGTCCAGAGGAGCTGTTTGTGTTTTTCCCCAGGATTGAGAAGTGCCTCATTGTGTCCCGAGCCGCCTGACCAGAACCGTTGAAGCCCACCATGAAAATGACTCCGCTGCTCTTCAGGAAATGGAAGCTGGATGCCTTGTGCATCACCAGGGTCCAATATGAAAAATTTCACTAGGGCTACCAATTTGTCTCGCTCTCTATCTTTGTATCTTGCAGGAAATTGGTCTGAAGATTTTGATGTTGCCCTGGAGGACCTTAGATGTGCAGTAGTTTTGATCAATTCCACGCGCGTGGATCTCAGCTTAGCGGAGGGACTACAGTCCTGGATCTCCTCTGCTTTCTCCCTGTTCAAGGATTGGGTGGGGGTAGGTATGTTCTTTGCATGCTGCATAGGAGGGTGCGTACTGTGCCTTTGGTTGACCTGCCGCCTGCGGACTCAGGCGTCCCGTGATAAGGCAGTAATGCTGCAGGCACTGGCTGCTCTTGAGAAAGGCAACTCCCCCCAAGTATGGTTGTCCGCTCTCAGGAGCCACTAGCTAAGCACGGCCTTTACACCCTCATGGGATATCTGCCCATTGCACTGAGGAAGGCGTGCTGGCTCCTTCGTAGCATTGCCTTTGCACCTCCAAGGGCTTGATCCCATTGCACTGGAGAAGGAATGCTATGAGGTGTTTTTGGCCTCCCTTGATAGGTCCACGCATCATGAGGTGAAGACCTGATCGGGAATAAGACCTGACTTGGCCCTGAAGGAAACAAGAAAGGGGAACTGCAGGGAGCCATGAGGTGTGGCCGACATTCCAAGATGGCGCTGGGCCCCTGCAGGGCTGGAGTAAACAACTCCATATAGGGTCATAACCCGAATCACCAGCTCGAGCATGCGCAGTGTCTTCAGCTTGCTGGGCCAATCAGGGAGCCTGAGGTGCCAGGGGTGCTCGACCAATAGGACGGTTGCACGCTGCCTCAGCTCCTATATAAGCAGCTGCAGTTCCCTGCTTGTTCTCTTTCGCTTCCTGCTCTCCCTTCAACCAAGAGGCTCCAATAAAATTCTATTCGGGAAGAATCCTTGTCTGGTGGTTGTCTTTCCTGCTGGTCAGGGAGCGCGCCACATCTAACATCCAGGTGTATAATTAACCATGCGTTCGTGTTTATAAAGCATTAAATAGGTTAACTGGTTTTTTTATTACATGTGTACATTTGTCTTAGCATCATTTATTGGTGAAAATAAAAGAAATGAAGACAGAAGGGTAAGGGAGAGATTGGGGAGAAAACGAGCCTTTCTCACGTGGAAATTAGATTGGGACTTGGTTTAAAACAAATGGACAAAGCGATTTGCTTTGAGCACCTTTTCCAAGCACTGTCCAGTTCCTCGGCTTACTGATGCAAAAGGCACAACTTTTGAGGAGAATGTGAAATGCAGTGGGTAAAATTAAGTAATTTCAGAGAGTCAAAACGTCAAAACCTGGTGGACAGACCAACATGAGCTCTAGAAAGCGCCTCCGAGTCGGAGCTCTTCGGTCCAAGAGGTCTTCAGAGCGAGGTGGCAGGGATGACAGTGACGCTTGTGTGAGGTGTAAAGTCACTGGGGCTGCCAGCAGCCACGCTTTCCCAGCAAGGGTTGGAGCCCAGCGGCCCCAGTTAGAGAGCTATCTGGGAAGAAGCCACACTGCCTAGTGCTGGTCCTGGCCTGGTGGTTTTCTACTCATTTACGCCAAAGCCTTGCTTTACGCTAGTACTGAGCCAGCACGGAGCTGTCATTCTCTAAGTAGGGGACTGCCTACTGGTCTACCGGTCCAGAGAGGAGGATAATTAAAAGCATCGTCTTAGGGGTTTCCCAGGAGAGCCTGGTGTCCAAGTAGGCATCTTGGATGAGGAAGTTTAGAAACAGCACGGGGTCACAGTCCGAAGCTTTAGGAAAGCCACCAGACAGCCTGGTGGCTGAGCCAGGACAGCTGGCTAGCCTCGCATAACAGGTGTTCCATCTGGTCTGTGAGCTCATGGCTTCTTCCCGTACAGGGTATGGTTCTGTGTCAGGAGTTCCTGCACTGTCTCCACCACTGCAACCGTCCGAGCAGCTGCACCATCAGCTGCAAATCCCCGCCCCCTCCCCCACCGGGCCGAGGCAGTTCGTTTTAGTTGTTGACTGGGGATGGAGAGAAGTGGAAAGGCACCGTGGGAGGCGTGTCTCCTGAGGGGTGACTCTGCAGGCTAGCCAGGGACTGAGACGAGAGGCAAAACCCAGTCAGGTGTGTGAACACAGGGCAGGAAACAGTAACTAACGTGTCTAGGATGCAATAAAACCCACTAGTCGCATCAAGACACAGGAAATGACACATTTAGTGAGAAGCATAAAACAACAAACAGAAACAAAAACACCTGGTGTGAGTACTGAGATGATTCCTGTTGGTAATTATTTCACAAAGATGAAAAGGTTTACAATAAGGATTCGTCAACAGATTCCCTTGAAACAATGAAAAAACAGTCTCAGCATAGAAATACATGCTGTAAAAAATATGGAAATTGTAGAACTGAAAAGTACAAGGAAAATTCAAAAGCTCGTTAGGGACTGAGGAGACGCCTCGGTGGTTAGCAGCCCTTGCTGCCCTTGTAGAGAACTCAGGCTCGATTCCCAGCCCGCAGGATGGCTCACAGCTGTCCGTAACGTTACCTCCGTAGCATGTGGCACCTCTGTAGCATGCAGCGCCTCCTCCTGGCTTCCTCAGGCACCAAGCGGGCACACAGTGCACATACATATATGCAAGCAAAACACTCATGCACATACAATAAAAATACATCTTAAGGGAAAACAAACAACAAAAACAGACAAACAAAAAACAATAAAAAAAAACGCCTCCTTGGACAGACTCAGTGCTACAGCAAAGACTATAGGAGCCTGACCCTGAGAATGTAAAGATACCAGGGTGCATTCAACCTGAAAACCAACAGAGAACCCACCCTTAGCAATCTGTGAGAAACACCCACCTGAGCACCTGAATAACTAAGATTCATATTATCAAGTTAACAGGGAATGAGGGTGGGGCCCAAAAGTCCGGAGATAGTACCAGTCAATCTCCCCAATTTAGCCAGAGACAGGAAAAACCTCAAAATCCTAAAGGTAATTGTAGCTAAAGGCTAAACCAAAGCAAATTAACAGTAAAACACATAGTAGGTAACTACACATCATCCAAGACAGTAGAGAAAAAAAGTCTTAAACTAGTCTGAGATGAAACCAGTACCGGTTCGGGAAGACAGGTTGAGGGACAGCAGATCTGAAGTCATCCAGACCAGGAGCTAGTGGCACATCTTTCAAGTGATAACGGAGGATGAGGAGTCAGGGGAGGGGAAGAAGCGGGAGGAGATGTATTAACCATGACTTCAGTACCTGAGAAAACCACTTAGAAATGGAAGGAGGTGCCAAGCCTGATATCCTGGACTTTATCCTCAGATCCTACATGATAGAAGGAGAGACAGATCTTCCTTCCTTCCTTCCTTCCTTATTTATTTATTTATTATTTATTTATTTATTTATTTATTTATTTATTCAGAGACGAGGTTTCTCTGTGTAGCCCTGGCTGTCTTGGAACTCACTCTGTAATCCAGGTTGACCTCGAAATGAGAGATTTGCCTGCCTCTGTCTCTCCAGTGCTGGGATTAAAGGCGTGTGCCATCACTGTCTGGATCAGAGAGAGGGAGAGATGTCCTCTGTCCTCCACACACCAATGCCATGGCAAGTGCAAGCACGTGTGTGCGCGTGCTGCCTGTACACACACACACACACACACGAGAGAGAGAGAGAGAGAGAGAGAGAGAGAGAGAGAGAGAGAGAGAGAGAGGGAGGGAGGGAGGGAGAGAGAGAGGAGAATAAACAAATCTAATAAATCTAATGAAAACAAAACAGAGGGCTGGAGAGATGGCTCAGTTATTAAAGCACTTGCTGCGCAAATTTGAAGACCCACGTTCAAATCCTCAGGACCTCTGTAAAGCCAGATTGAGTGGAATGCATCTATAATCATCTCAGTGTGTATATAGACAGGTGGGGGGGTGGGGACTGTAGAATCTCAGAAGCCTGCTGACCAGGTAGCCTGTTTAATAAAGAAATTCTACCTCGAACAAGGAGAAAGCCAGGGTCCTAAAGCTGTCCCCTGCTCTCCACTGGCCAGCACTCACACCGGACACATACCACAAAGGTGCATACGATATTCTCATATGACAGAAAACTAAAAATGTGTCGTTAGGTCAACTCCCTTCAAGGCTGGTCTCTGAGCCTCGTAGGCAAGAGGGTGACATAGATGTCCCATTTGCTGCTGAGCACTCCACAGACACGTATTCTCTATGCTTTGACCAGTTTTGAGTTAGAAAAAATAAATTTTCACACACACAGAAAGGAAATGAATATCAAAAAACATCTTGTAACCTTAGCAACTATAAAGGCGGTAAGGGGAGGTGTGGGGAGGAGAGGGAGTACCTAGACAGCCCAGTCCTCAAGAGCCTGCTATGCCAGCAGGATGACCAGCGTTCCAAGTCCAGGACCCAGGAGAAAGTGAACCAACCTGGGAGACTGAGGCAGATCAGATGGCCACAAGGTGACAAGACAGAGTTGGAGGGATGGCAGCCTGGCTGCAAGCCCCTCACGTACAGTCAGCTCTAAGGCAGTGAAGGGCTCGTCTACTCTGGAGCAGAAAAGACAGGTGACAGCCATTACCCAGATGTCCCTCACCCTGGGGCGTTGGGTGCTGTTGTAACTCTCAGTCACTTAGCAGTGCCCCAGGATGCCCACCAGAAGTGGGCTTATTTTTGTGCAGGCAATGAAGGGAGCTTTATAGGCTCTGAATGGGCGCCATGCTTCAGACTTCACAGCTGCGTCCTGGGCTGAGGTGCCAATGTAACCCTGAGTTTTCTAGAAATAGTTGGAACCTGGGCCTGCCTCCCGCTTCCCCAGGATGGGGGTCACCCCCGGGATGAAGACGCTGTTGGAAATTTTCTCAGAAGGTGACCCCATCGGCTGGCCCCTGGAGTCCATTCCACCTCAGCTCCTGTGGAGTGGGAACTGTTGGAAGGCACTACCAGAGCATCCAGGCTCCCAGGAAGCTGCTGAGGATGGTGGAGAAGAGCAGCCCTTTCCTGGGAGGACCCAAGTGTTTGTGGACTCTGCAAGACAGCCCTGGTAGGAATCAGCTTTGCATTTCACTTAGTCTCAAGGCCCTGCTGGAGCAGAGAGACATCCTATGGCTCAAGTGGGAAGCAGGCCTGTGCTCTGGTCAGCATCCACACTCTTATGGCCTGCCTGGTGCAGTTCTAAGAGGTATACACCTCGTTCTCACAGCAGCCCTGGGACGGAGGGCTTAACAACTGTTTATTACTACCTAATCTCTGAGTTTTGTAGCTTTCATTTTAGCATTATTTTGATCCTGCAAGGGACATGACAAAGGTCCCCTAAACTAATGAACCATACAACAAATCACTTTACATGCACACTGGTTTTTCATGGCTCATCTGAGGCCTGTAAGATCCGTGTCTGCTCTCAGGTCTCTTGTTTTCACTGTCCACTCAGGGGAGGACTCGGTCCTGCTGAAGAAACATTATTTGGCAAATAATCTGATCAATTTCATTTATATTCCAGGCAATGAAATGTTAAGAGCCTACTTCACCGTTACATCATCTGAATAGAGCCGAGTCCGCAGGAGGAGATTAAATTTTGGAGCAAAGATCCAATTTCATGGAAATAAAACGCCTTACCTAAGTGCATTTAAAACTCTTTAGTAGAGTAGTTAATACCAATTAAATTGTGGACTGTCTGAATCATGAATTATCAATTCAGACATGATTTTGTTTTTCTTCTCTAAGTAACTCAGGCTTTGTGGGTTGTTTTTATTTTATTTGGTCATCGAAATTCAGTCATTCAGT